AATTAAAGTACCAAAAGTTCTTTAAACCTTTAACGTTAGGAAAACAAAAGGAAGTTTTCCGTGTGTGAGTGATTAAATGTTGCCTAAGAGGGCCTCAGTAATGGCTTCAAATGGAGTTGGGATTCATAAAGAATTGATAATGAACAGAAACACTTGTGCAATTCAGATACTTGTTAATGGGAAGTAAAGTCGTAAATCCTATAACGATCAACAATTTTCAAAGCGAACTTCATTATGTACAGAATTAAATACTATACGTATGTATGTAGTAATTAAGTAATTAGGTATCCTTGAAAGCTAGAACAAAAAATAAAAAAATAAAAAAATGTATTTCTATATAGTTTTGTAATTTTTAATGTGTAAAATACAAATACAAATAATAATTTAATTCTTTACTACGCTTAATCGACATCATAAATGTTTCATTTTTGTATTCTTACCTAGTTATCGTTGTCTGTCCGTGAGTCTTTCTCTGTCAATAACGTTGTTCTCTGAAGTTGTATGTACATAATTGAAATTTGGCATAATTGTAATATCTGGTTACCGTCACGTTGCTTAAATTCAAAATTTCCACTTAAGAGATAAGTTTTTGTAACTGAAATTGGAAGCTGTTCTAAATTCATAAACTATGTAATAAACGGAATGGAAATATTTTTCATTGTAGATTTAAAAAAAGGAAACAAAATAACCAATCTATGTATCAAAACTCAGGATCGATCAATTCATACGTAATTTAGACTTTTATTTGAACAATCTTTAAGAAATTGAATTATCTTACTTTAGATTTTTTTATATTTACTTAATATATTCGACATTATGAACATAATTAATAATTATTTTATTTTTTATAATAGTGCATGAAAATTTGCAGTCACCCACCGTCAAAAGTCACCTAAATTGGAAATATGGTGTGATTGAAGAAATTATTTTCAATTTAATTTAACGGTGGTAGAGCCACGCGGCAGTTTTTGCTGTTGCACGTATGAGCCGGCTCGAGCCGGGTTGGTACCACGACCTCACAGAATACCGGTGACGTAGAAGCTCTGCTTTTGCGTTTCGTCTATTGAGTGAAGGTGGCCGGAGGCACAATTCCCCCCCACCCCCATCAACATGGTAGCGGAATGACACCAAAGACTACCCCAGGAGGGTACCAGCACCCCTGGAGAATCCCTCGCTGAGCATCCACGACCATGTTCATCCACTCCTGAGCGTTGGTAATCAGGCTGCCCCGCGTATACTGGGGTGAGGGGGGGGGGCAAAATTCCGCTCAAAAACATAACTGCTCGGGGTAAGCTGAGCAACAATACCAAGGCGACCCCTGCCGCGCTATCCGTGAATTTCTGCAACATCAGGGGACTTCACTTGAACCTAAACGCCGTCCACTACTATCTCGAGACGGCGAAGCCGGCCTTGCTCTTTCTGACCGAGACGCAGTTGTCCTCACCGGCTCATAATTCGTATCTCTCCTACCCCGGGGTACAAATTGGAGCACTCATTTGTGCCTCGGGCTGGAGATTGCGTATGTGTCAGAGAGGACATCTGTTCTCGACGCCTCGGCAGTCTTGAAGGTTCGGACCTGTCCATCATTTGGCTACGCGTAGACAGCGACGACTATCCGCGCGTCTACGGGTGCCTCTATAGGTCCCTTAGCGGTAATGCCGAAACAGACCGACTCATCGACCACGTCCAAATGGCTACAGATTTCTTGCTACAACAGATCCCTTTCGCAGAGATCGTGAACCTTGGCGGTTTTAACGCCCACCACGCCAAATGGCTCGGTTCACGTTTAACCGATCATGCGGTGAGATCGGTTTATGACTTTGCCTTGGCATATGGTCTGACACAACTAGTTACTTCGCCTACGCAGATTCCAGATGTGGAGGATCATACACCGTCCCTGTTGGACCTTCTGCTGACCTCTCATCCGGACGGATATCAGGTTTCCGTCGATGCCCCTCTCGGCTCTTCAGACCATTGTCTGATCCGGAGTGTGGTGCCACTCACGCTCCCCTCGCGGTTGCGTTCTGCAGGTTGCCGCCATGTTTGGCATAACAGGTCGGCGGATTGGGACGGAATCCGGTCTTTTTTGCATCCTACCCATGGGGGCGGGTTTGCTTCTCGCCGGATGATCCCAGCGCTGTTGTTGAATCTATCACTGATGTGGTGCTACAGGGAATGGAACTATTTATTCCATCATCTGTGGTACCCATCGGAGGCAGATCTCAGCCTTGGTTTGGTCGCTCCTGTGAGACTGCATTACGCAGTAAGCAGGAGTGTTATCAAGCCTGGAATGCGGCTTCGGCGACTCGGGATGTAAACACCAGCATACTTAAAAAGAAGTAAAACTTCGCCTCCAGGTCCTTCAAAAGAGTTATTGCCAAGGCAAATTCAGAGCACATAGGCAGAATTGGCGAGAAGCTAGTCCGCCTTCCTTCGAGAACCCGTGCATTCTGGTCTCTCGCCAAGGCTGTCCAAGGGAATTTCTGTAAGCCATCACTACCATCTCTCACGGGCCCAAACGGCAAGAGACAAAGCCGACCTTTTAGGCTCCCTTTTTGAGTCCAACTCGACTCTTGATAATGGGGGGAAAACACCGCCGACCATCCCCTGGTGTGAGTAATCCATGCCAGATGTGCAGTTCTCACAGCGCTCGGTTTGCAAAGCACTCTTCTCCCTGGATATCCAGAAGTCGAGTGGGCCTGATGAAATCCCCCAATTATGGTGAGGACGTATGCACCGGAGTTGGAACCGGTCCTAACGCGTCTTTTTCGGTACTCCTATTCCCTAGGCGTAGTCCCGAAATCATGGAAGACAGCTTTTGTTCACCCGATCCCTAAAAAAGGCGACCGCTCAGACCCGTCCAACTACAGGCATATCGCCATCACCTCCTTGTTCACCAAAATAATGGAATCCATTATTAACTGCCAGCTCATGCGGTACCTTGAGGATTACCAGCTGATTAGTGACCGCCAATACGGTTTTCATCGAGGTCGATCAGCTGGTGATCTTCTGGTCTACCTTACTCATAGATGGGCGGAGGCAGTAGAGTCCAAGGGGGAGGCGTTGGCCGTTAGTTTGGACATTGCGAAGGCCTTCGATCGGGTTTGGCACAAAGCGAAGCACTTTTCGAAGCTCCCTTCCCTCGGGAAAACGTCGCCGAGTACCGGAACCAACTTGCAGACGTGCAGTTTCGTGGTCATTTGGAAGAAAATACCAAAATGATCTCTAAAAAGCTTGGCGTGCTCAGCAGAGCGAGACAGTATTTCATGCTTGCACACCGCCTGCAACTTTACAAGGCGCAGGTTCGGCCTCACATGGAATATTATCTGGACTGAGGTGATAGGCGCCTGGCAGGATAGATGGACGTGTGATACAAAAGGACGTGAGCTACATCGATTTTTCCCGGACGTGGCGTTGAGACTCAGTTATACCTGGGTCTCACCGGACTACCAAACCTCTCAGATTCTCACCGGACATGGATGCTTTCGGAAGAGACTGAGCGATATGAAACTGTGTGAAATTAGTATGTGTGATTGCGGTATGTCGGAGGAGGATGTTCACCATGTTCTATGGGAATGTCCTCTGTATGATGACCTAAGAGTGAAAATGATGGATGGACTAGTTCGTCCGGTTCAGGGACCAGTTTACTACTCGGATCTCGTCAGCGATGTGGTAAACTACGGACTGTTGCGCGAGTTTGCGCATAGGTGGCACGATCGCAGGACAAGGCAGGATGGAAGGCTGGTAGGAGCGCCCGACGACGTAGGCGTCAATGTGTCGTCAGCCCCAGAAGGGGGAGAATGACGTTAAACTGGGACAAGGAATAGATTAAATATTTGTAGGGAGTCAAGAAAGTGTGCGCAGGAAAGAGCCACGTGCAAGTACCGCGCGCATCTCCCGAGATTCGGCCCGTATGACCTGAGGGTCGGTGGGGCCATGGGAGGTGGAGGGTTGTTCCCATCTCTGGGCAGGGGCTCCCCAGTGCCAGCTCCTTCCACTTGATCTCATCCAGCGCAGAGCGGCTCGAATCGTCGACGACCGAGTCATTTACGATTGGCTCGATTCACTGGCACTGCGAAGAGATGTTGCATCCCTTTGCATTTTCTTTCGCATCTACCAAGGGGAGTGCTCTGAGGAATTCTTCGGATTAATCCCAGCAGCCAAATTTCACGAACGCACATCGCGGCATAACTCCCGATAACATCCACACAATCTGCATGATTGGCGGTCCCCCACTGTGCGATTTAGAAGTTGTTCATGGGCGGCGGTAGTCACTTACCATCAGGTGTGCCGCATGCTCGTATGCCCCCTCTCCTATAAAAAAAGCTTACGAGATTTGGATTGTACCACTCTATTATGTCTTTATTTATTTTTCTAAAATAATGTGGTATTTCGCGATCAATGTTAAATCAAGTCAAAATGTTCACTGGGACTATTTGACTTGTTCTATTAATGGATACAATAATACTTACTTCTTCACGATTGTGTATGCTCAACTCCCGATCCTGACCATAGACTTTTCAAATTTCGTCGCCTTGGAAGGTAATGGAGTTATTCCACAGAACTACACTTCTGAGTTATGGACGTTTAAAAACTAAATGATGCGAGTAAGAACAGTTATTTTAACATAAATCAGCGTCATATTTTAGTAGAGAGTTCAAATTTTTACCTTAGATTATTAAAACGTGTTACCATTGAATGCTATAATTAAAAAATATCAAAACATCATGGTTTAAAAGTTATGTGGCTTAGACCTATTGACTACCATTTTATTTACAATGTAATACTCATATTACGAGGTGTATGTCACTTAACTCTCTTGCCTTATTGACTTTTTATTCCGATGACATATCAATCTAAATAGATAAAAACGCGCAAGCGGAGTGGAGTGTTTAAAAATAAATACATAATAATTAATTGTTCATTTACTTTTATTAAAGGAAAATAAATCAAATTAACAATTAAAAGGTAATGTAGAAAAATGAGGAAGTTAAAATAAATTATTCACTTTCTGAGTTGTCACTAATTAGTCCTTCTTCCAGATCGTTATAAAAATCATGATACACCGAAGGTATGGTACCTTTTGCGCAGAGATCCTTCAGATCTTTAAGTTTATTGGCAGAGATCTTAAGCTTTTTGTTATAGAGCTTCTGTAAATCGCAACATGGTGTCATAGTAGATTTGCGTAGAGCTTTGCGCTGTATAGGTAAAGATTTAAAATTTTCTTCTGATAATTGGTTCTTGAAAAATATAATTTTAGGACTTTCTTTTCGATATTGTATCCATTTTAATAACAGCCAGTTCATATTGTCACCAGTATCTGTTTTATTTTTATTTGTGATAACTTTGTTACTGTACGACTTAAAGTCAATAAAATCTGAATATGTCAACTCTTTGATCTTGTAATATGGCTTTGTTGTTTTAGCCGTACGTGCGACAGTGTACCAGCCTTCTGGTGTATAGATATCTACATGCCTCCCTCTGTTTTCAACTGCAGAGTGTACACTATCGCATTCCATCTCTGAATGTCCAGACTCCATAAACTTTTGATTAATGGTTTGGATTGGCAAAACTGTTACTGCATGTAAAAACATTGCGGCAATAATAGTGTTCCGATTCTGGCCAGAAGCAGTATCAGAAAATAAAGTTATTTCTTTTATCTCAGGAGCCAATGACGATAAATGCATCCAAATGCAAGTGGCTATCTCCGATGCACCTTTAGTACCTACTCCTTCATGCCACATATAATTTGTAGCCTCAGAATCTCCTAAATTATACAATGTAAAATTGTAAATCTTTAACTTTCTTTTATAATACACCTGACCAGCCTGTAAGTTTGGAGCTAATAGTAGTTTTTCCAGGTCCATAGCAAAGGCAATAAAGCCAGGATCTACTTTGGTACGATTTTTGTCAAGAACTTTATGCTTTCTTGCTTCGTTTTTACGAATAATATGCAAATCATACTCTTCTTTATGAAGTTGCTGCTCATGCTCTGGCCTATTCTTAAATTGAATACAATGGTCACATTGATCCTTCTTAGGGCGATGGAAACCATAATTAAATTCGTTGGTAAAAATAAATTTGTAAAAACTGGCCTTTTCAGGTACAACTTGACGTTCTTTACAATACTCTACATAGTCTAAGTACAAACGGTTTTCGCTTAAACCTGAAGGCAAATATTTTCTCTTCGTCGTACTACGACAATAATGTGAAGATACAGTAGGTAAAGACTTAATGTGGTCTCTAATTATATCTTTAACTACATCTGATTTCTTGTTGGGTGGTTCTTTCTTCCCTCTCATATCTGGTTCAGTAACTCCAGATGGTGTCAATTTACTTAAAGCTGTCTCAACTTTCTTCGCAGATATATTAAAAGTAGTCAAAAAAAATGACTTGCATACTTGGAAACTTTGGCTATCTCTAAACAGGCTATATACCAACGTGTTTTTACGTCTACTTTGATTTTCTTTGTAGGTTCGTTTGACAGGTACACGTTGCACACACTTACCTATGAAACACCATCTTGCATGTTCAGATTTCAAAGATAAATATTCTTGTAGAAGATTTTCTCTTTCTTGTAATGAAAATTTAAAGTTACAATTGTAATGGCACTTACACGATATATCTTTAACTTTTTTAATACCTATTTTATTTCCTGATCTTGTTGTATATTCCTTTCCAGCTAGCCTTAAAGTTTTTTGAGTATTACGTTTCCACTTAAGTGGATTTCTTTGACGTTTTCTTGTCAAAGTGTCGGAGTCTACTTTTTTACTTGTAGAGGTGACGTGTTTTCGAATGTATTTACTCCATAGGACTTCATTGTCTTCTTCAGAACTGTTAGATATATTTTCAGAGGTAGAGGTCTCCGAAACTCTCGTTACAGGGTGGTACATTGTATCGTTTTCAGAATCAGAGGTAAAGTAAGGATTGCGATCAACTATAGAACCTGAAAGTATAAACAAGAAAAATTATAACCATGTCCAGAAAGAGCATTATTATTTTTACCTGAAAATAAGTCTGGCAAGCTTTTTTATATAGGATAGGGTGACAAACGAGCACACAGTCCACCTGATGGTAAGTGATTGCTGTGGCCCATAGACATCATCTATCCTCGTTTGCGAATCAAAATGCAGATGCGTTATCACCCGTTAGGACTAAGATGCCTCGTTTCCAGTAAAAAGGGTCTCCGGTTCTCTCCATTCACCACACGAAACACAGCAGTGTTAAGCTGCTATTTTAAGCTGGTATTCTATGAGAGCGTGGTCCTTACCCGGTCGAGCCGACCCATTCGTGCTACAACTATACTAATAATATAGCTGTAGCATGGCTCTACCACGTTTGAGCTACACCAAGATTCAAAAATTCCTACAAACTTTGTAAATTCTACAACAAATAAATACAGTTACTAAAATTCTAGATTTGAAAGAAAATTTATGGCTAGATTACCCTAGATCGTATTACATAACTATATTAACCTGTTTGTTCTCTGAGTGTACTAGAACCATCTGTTGTCTCAACTGTTGGAGGCACAGATTGAAGTACATGATACGAATTTTCTTCATTTTCTTCAAGAACTAAAACAATAAAATTAAAATTAAATGCAGGTAGCACTAAGTTGCTCCAATATCTACCACGAGACCGCGCTAAATAACACCCCAGTACCTTTTTGTTGATAGTACAAGTTTGTACACTATACACCTGACAAAATTGGGTTTAATCCTTCAATTTAATCAAAAAAAAAACCTCTACTCTGATATTTAAAATCTTCTAGAATGGTTCCATATTATAATCATCTAGAAAGTTACATTTAATACAAAAAAAAGCAGATAAGTAAGAAACACGTGAGTCGCGCCCGACACCCCGCCCCGCATAAATCGTTTGGAATGTCTTTTAGATTGATTGATCGAAAACGAATTATGAAAGTTGTGTTATGTTTGAATGTCACCTAGTAGTATTTTAAAATAATTAGATGTCTATTAATAAAAACATAAGTATGTACATACCTTGATTGTTTTGTTTGTATAGATCAAAAACCGCCGCAACCATCTTCTGTCCTCGCGATAAATTCATGATAATAATATTAACCACACACTGAATACTGATAAAATAATATATATATTTATATTATATGCACATCAATTGCTAGAAATCATAATGAACTCTCAATTATTTAAGTAGTTTATATTATTAATATAATAGATCATTATTGTTATTTTGCACAAATCACCGACTCACTATCAAAGCAAACTAAACAATGCACGCACAAACTCGTAGAAATACAGAATGTGGATTGGTTAACAGGAATAAACATGATTTTTCTCTGCCAATTAAAATGTTCCCAAATAAAATCGGGATTGGATAAAAAATGACATAACATACATAGATATTATGAAGACATAATTTTGGTGGTCAAGAGTTCTATGAGCTCTTACAACTATTGACCACTGAATTATTACTTTAACTATGACTTGTAACCTTGTCATCACAATAAATCTAAGCGGCATAGAATTTTTGACTCTTATTGAAACTACACTTAAATTTATTGGCAATTTAAAAAAAACCTGCTTACAGTTATGATATCAGTTACATGTATTGACTAATATAAACTATGGTTCTTTCTCAGTACGTTAATGCACTTAACTCCATTTCGCAAAAATTGTGGGTTAGCTCCATTGCCCTCCAAGGCGACGATTTTAGATACTGATTTCTTCACTTTGCGTTCCTTTACCACTAAGCATGTAATAAATCACCACTTTAAATTGCAATCAATAATTACACTTGTGCCGACGTGGATCTAACGCGTGTTATTAGAGTACTGTGAAATTAAGGGCAAGCGCTAGGCAATCACGTCACTTAATGAAATTGATATTGATTCATTATGTTCATAAACATATAATTGTTTATAAGTGTGTAGTCACAACGAGAGTGTAGTGTTCTTTGTGTGATTAAGTTTTGTAAAATTCATTCACACTTCAGAAGAATTTCCTTCAGTATAACATTTATAAAGACGGAAACGATTATTACACCCATAAATGAAATTTTATATGTTGTTTATTTAAAATTGAAATAACAAGCGAACTAGCAGTTCACTTATTGGTAAGTGGCTACTGCTTCCCCTGGACACTTATAACTAACTACAAATGAAATAGCTGGTTGCAGGTGTCCACGGGTGCAGTCAGCTCTTACCCACTTCTCACCGTCTTAGGGTGAAGCATACCTAGAATAATTCCTAGACAGAAAGGGGGATATATGGTCAGACTATCTCTAAAAATAATTTTATATATTTACGTTTCATTGTAATAAAAAGGGGGTTGATGGGTTTGATAAAAGCATTTCGAGATTCCTTGTTCTGCGATCGTCAATGTGCCCCGCCTGTCAACTTTACATATTAAGGCTTCTCCTCGCAATGTTAATAATAATAAGAGGTGCTCATGTCATACTGTGGACTTTTACAGGCTAATGAAGAATGTCGGTGGTAATCGCTCTGTGCGGAAAATTAATAATCAAATAATAACAATTGAATTAGATTGATAAAAAAATCATTTTCGGATCTAGTTATAACTTTTAAGGCATTAATAATGAAATTAGTTCGCTATAATTTAAAATTAAAAATTTTGTACAACAGACTTCAATATGAATTATTAATAATAACTCAGAAACTATTGATCAGACCTTGGTCAAATTTATATGGAACTACAAAAGAAGCTTCAGCTTTAAAATAAAAAAGAATCATCGAAATCGGTTTACCCAGAAAAAAGTTATGCGGTAACACATATTAAAAACATACAGTCGAATGGAGTACCGTATTCTTTTTGAAGTCGGTAGAAAATACGACTAAATATTTTAGTATGTTTAATTGAGCAATACAAAACAAAAATATAAGTGTATATATAACATTTGTTTGTCTAGAACTAATATTGAGAAGAAATATGAAAATCGAAAAACGAAATTTCCTATCTCGGTATAATAGAATTGTGAAAACCAGTATTATTTAAAGTTTATATTTTAGAAACTTTTTGGTTATTGTAGTTATATAATCGAGATTTTGATCAAATTATAATTTAAAAAAGTTCAATTATTCTTTCAATATTGTATTTTATATCATTTTAATGTACGCGGCTTTAGGGTGACATCTAAACCTACTGTAATGATATTTTGAGTTTTGACCGATAGTCTGAACTTTAAATGAGGGAAAATGACTGTTAACTGTTTTTGCCTAAGAGCATCGGTCAAAACCATTATTGCCAGATTTTTGCAATCAAAGTGGTTTTGACCGAAAAGGTGTATATAAGGAAGGTAAAAATAAAAGAATATTTCTTATAAAAATTATAAGTTTTAGTTTCAAAACCAAAAATATCAATTCAGCAATGACAGAAATAAACATCAAAATTAAAAAAAGCTTGATACTTATATAATTATTCACTTGCCTTATTTATCAATCATGTGCACTTTTTTCAGACACTTATTATCAACAGTAAACGCATATATTAATATAGTTTACACATATAAATTAGTTAATATAACAGCACACTTTGTATACATAAACATATAAACATAAACATAAACACTCACGCCTGTCACCCAGAGGGGTAGGCAGAGATTATGGACTTCCATTTGGCACGATTCTGACACACCTCTCTCGCTTCCTCCACATCCATATACCTACGAATACACGCTCGTCGGTTAAAGGTACTCTATATTTGGCCCATTTTTAATATATCGCCAATTTGGTCGATAAACTTTCGCCTAGGGTGACCCTTCCCGACTATGCCGTTCACCTCTGCAACATAAATTTGCTTTGTCACTCTTTCCTCATTCATTCTTTCTACATGGCCAAACCACTGAAGCATTCCTTTCTTAATCCTGGTCACAACATCATCTTGCAAACCACACTCTTCTCTTATTAAACAATTTCTCACTCTGTCATTTAGCTTCATCCCTAACATACTCCTTAATGACCGCATTTCTACAGCATTTATTCTACTCTCATGCTTCTTCTGCCACACCCAACTTTCACTACCGTACATTAAAGTAGGTAGGTAACACAGCATTGTGAATTGCCATACGTGCCTTTTTGGACACATTCTGACTTTTCACAATAGTGTGTAGAGCCCCATTCACTCTATTTCCTGCATTCACTCGTCGTTCTATATCCTTATCATATCTACCATCCCTGCTAAACACACATCCCAAATATACAAACTCATCTACTTGCTCTACCAACTCCCCTTCTATTCTTATTTCACATATCGTTTTACTTTCTTCTCTTTCAAAAACCATTACTTTCGTCTTACTTGCGTTCACTTTCATTCCCTATTCTTTTAATGTCCTGTTCATTAATGTAACCATCATTTGCAACTCGGCTGCCGGAGACGCAAGTATGACTTGATCATCGGCGTACGAAAGGCATTTAACGGTTAACTCACCCATTCTTAACCCGCATTCTTCTACTTTCAAATTTTCCAAACAACTGTCCATAAATAGGTTGAACAACCATGAGGAAGCCACACAGCCCTGTCTGACACCTTTATGGATGTCAAACCAGTCCGAGTAGGCCCCGTTGATCCTGACACAAGCACTAGAGTCCCTATATAGAGACTTCAATGCCTGTATCAGACCAGCGCTCAACCCAAATGAGTTCAGTGTTTGCCATAACACATCCCTGTCCACTCTGTCATAAGCCTTCTCCAAGTCCATGAACGCACAAAAAACTTTTTGGTTTTTGGCCAAAAACTTCTCGGCGATCATGCGCATGGAAAAGACCTGATCCTTACATCCCATTCCCTTTCTAAATCCCGCTTGTACATCCCAAATTTTTCCGTCAGTTTCTTTCATAACTCTTTTAATTAGTACCTTAGCATACAGTTTTCCCACAATGCTAAGAAGGCTGATACCACGGTAGTTTTTACAGTCCTGCTGTGATCCTTTTCCCTTATATATTGGGACTATCACGGCTTTGCACCAGTCTCCCGGTACCCGCTTAAGTTCCCAACATAAATTAAACAAGGTGTACAGTAGGTCTGCCACCACTCCTTCTCCAGCCCTTAGCATTTCGAGAGATACTCTATAACCGGCTGCCTTACCTGCTTTCATACTTTTCATTGCTTTCATTATTTGATCTATATTTATATCTCTATCTATTTCCTCTTTTTTCGGAATTTCTATTTCATATAATTCGAACGTCTCATCACTCATAAACACGCTTTCAAATTATTCCTTCCATCTCCTTAAACTCAAAACTTCGTCATTCAGAATACAGCCATTCTGGTCTCGTATAGAATTTATTCTAGGCTGTTGTGAATGTCCCCTGGTATTTCTTACGAGTTTCCAGAACATTTTTATGTTTGCCTGGAAGTTATCCTATATTCTTCTACCATTCTTATCCGTTCTTTCTTGCTTTTTCCTTTCAACTACTTCTTTTACTCTCTTATTTAGGTGTCTAAAAACTGCCTTTTTCCTTTCAATATCATCATTCATACTGCTAGAATTACTAGCCTTGGTTGCTAGTAAATCTAGCCATGCTTTCTTCTTTGCTTCAACTTCCATCCGTACCTCATCATCCCACCATAACGTGTTATTTTTCCTTTCATTCGTTCTCTTACTTACACCACATACTTCGGTAACTGCATCCACTAAACCTTTCTTGACATTATACCACACAGTCTCCAAGTCTAAATCATTCATACACAATTCAGCCATACCACTTATATTTTCTTTCAATTTACATTTGAACTTCTCTTTCACACCTTCATCTTGTAACCTCTCTGTTCATATACGCTGTAACGCTGTGGTAGACACAGATGTCCGATGCCTCCAACGTCTGAAAAGACCATTAATTCAGCATAAGACCAAGTAATGATCCGTCCCTACGTTAGAGCCCCGGTAAACCCTTGTATCTACCACCGCGTTCCTCATTCTTGCATCAAAATTATGAAATCTATCATACTTCTATCATCACCTCTTTCCCATGTATACGTGTGAATCTTCTTATGACGAAAGAAAGTGTTCGTCACAACAAGATTCTTTTCCACGCATACGGCGAGAAGGCTTTCACCATTCTCATTTATACT